TTACGAAATTGGAAACCTGACGTCTACCGTGCATTTATAGTAACTCTACGGTAAGGGCTTTCCCATGAAAAATAGACGTTTGAAGGCGGCGAGCCCGAAAACAACGCGCTCTTGGTCACAATTAGAGAAGGAAGGTATGTATGAGTCAGCATGTGATCGCAGGACCTTGTAGAGTTTTGAAGTAACGAGTAGAAAGGTTATTGTAAGGTAAGAGGTAGAAATGCAATCGTCAACAGATTTTCTGCAGCTTTATATCAGATTTTAGAATGAGCCGAGTAAAAGATGAGCAACAGTTTGAGTTTAGACAAGATTAGAAGAAAATGGGGGAATTATTTTGGAGAAGAGAAGTAATTCACACAGTAATTGTCGGTGCGTGTAAGTGTCTGATGAGAACAGAAAATATCAAAGCTTGTTTTACCCAAAAGAGGTAAGAAGTGAAGCTTTACAATTCAAAAGCTGGGAACGTTGGAGACTTTTTCTTCAGTACTGTAATGAATATTCTATTAGAGGATGGGGTCTAAAAAAATCGTACACATGCTGCATACCTTATGGCCTCTTGGAGGACGCTCTGAACCCTTTTGCGCAACCCGCCGTCTCTGCATCTCTGCGGAGCACACGCTATCTCGGCGTTCATTACCAAATTAACCACCCGTCCGCGGGGGTCGCGAACGTCACGAACTGGTACGCGGTGCACCCGCGAGGTCACCGGGCCGCAGCTGGTCGGACCAACGTAGCGTTCCTTTCGCGTACGTTCGCGCTCTCGCTTTTTTTCCCCGCTGCTTCTTGCAGAAGACAGTTGGTCCGCAGCCAACGAGGCCATACCACACAGCGCTTTTTGAATCCACGCGGCCACTTGGAGGGGTTTCGATAAGGTCACCGTACCAGTTACCGTATGTCACCGAGATGGTAAGAAATCATCATCGACATTCTGTGTGTGAAAAAAATCGTATCGCATTGAGTATGTAATGTCTTATAGCCGCTAAAGAACCGTACCGTAACAGATGGGTTGGCGTCAGGATATAACGATGGGAAATTGGGGAAGAAGGAAAACGCGCAGAAGGGTTCAAAATCCAAATAGGGAAATAGCCGTTCGAAAAGCACAAACAGAGCAATCAACAGTTCAGTCTTCCAGTTAAGGGAAGAGATGCAAATCAGCTTCAATTCATATAAAGCACTGAGTCTTCAACCAGAAAATAAGTTTAGGACTCCTGCTAAAATCCGAGTGTTTCT